AACCAAGCCTGACACGCGCCCCCTGAGCGAGAGTACAAGTAGGCGTGATGCTTGTGTTCCTTGACGTTGTGGAGCTGCAGCGTGAGCTCGAACTTGCGAAACCATGGAATTGGATCTGTCTTGATTGAGTCGTGGAAGATCTCCTGCCCATCGAACTTAGGAGCTGTCTCGCGCGGCTCCGGACTCGAGGTGGTGGCGGTAGTGCAGACCCGCTGCTGCAACTGTTGCGTCGCGGTTTGCTGTAACTGTGCGCCATCCTGGAGGGAGCCGACGTGCATCTCCAATGCGGTGAGGCGGTCGGCAGTATTGGAAGAGCCTGTGTCGGCGTCGGCGACTGGTCGCTGCTCCAACCGCTGAAGGCGGTCTTGGAGATGAGCTACCGAGTTGTCGAGACCAAGGATCTCCGCCTGCTGTGTAATGCAGGTTGCCAGGAGATCCGTGAGATGCGAGAGGAGGAGCGCTATCTTGTTTGCGCTGTCCTCCAACTGGCTGTTCTCGGCCTCGCTTCGCCATTCTGCTGCCATGGTAAGTAACGCCTGCTCTACGGTGAATATCTTCTCACGACGCTGTGTTCTTTCTTCATCGGCAGCCCTCGCTGCTGCCTCGTCATGCTGGTGCTGTTGTTCAACCGCCAGCAGACGTGCCTGCTCGGCATCCTCTGCCCTTTTCTTTGCTGCTGCGGCAGCGTCATCTGCCCGCTTCTTTGTCTCGGTACTCCAGGCTAACATGCGGGCCTGATAGGCCTCGTCTGTTTCCCCGGCCTTCTGGTCCATGACTGCTGTCTGTGAACGCAACAGCATAGACCAGACCGGTGCCTGCTGATGTGGAATCCCTTGCTGTTGACGTGGCAATGCTGACGTGTCCTGCTGACGTGGCCTGCTGACGTGGCCTGCTGACGTGTCCTGCTGACGTGGCCTGCTGATGTACTTACGTAGCCTGCTGACGTGGTCTGCTGACGTGGCCCGCTGATGTGGCAACTTACCAATGCCGCCGCAGGGGGTACCCGGATACAAACAGAAACGGCAAGGCGAGAGATGGCAACAACATAGGTGGGGAGGGGTGGGTGGGATAATCGCCCAACTCACACTTAGATAAGGAGCCACTAATCAAAACAGAAAAGTTTGAACTTTGCAAAAAAATTTCGAGAAGCTAAAAAAAATAACAATCCCGATTTTTTTGCAAGTTCGGTAGGTCTCCCAATCTCCCTTGAAGTACGAAATGATCTCTGAAAGCGAAAAAAAAAAAAAATCGACTTTAGACTGCAACCGATTTATAGAACCAACTGACAGAATCCAAGGACTGTGAAAAAATTATCCGAACAGAAATGACAAGTATTCGGATTTATTCCGATGGGAATATTCGCAGTTAAAAAATAATACGTGCAGGAGGTAATTCCCGTACCGTTTTCAGAAAAACGAATTTCAGAAATGAAGATATTCCAAAGTTCTAAGTAACGGGAAATGCAACAGAAAATCGAAACTTTCAAAAAGAAATATATTCCGGATTTTTAACAACGAAATTTCGAATTTTCAGAAAGAAAAACGAAAATAGGAATTTCAGATGTTGCAATATAGCGCTTTTCCACAGCAGAATAGCGAGAAAATAAAATCCGAGAAAAGAAAAAAATTTCGATTTTTTTTGTAGTAAGTTCAAGATCGTGATTTTGGGGTCTAACTAGTATGTCCTAATCAAACAGAAAAGACTAACTAGCTTTTTAGTCCCCGCACACGTGTCAGATCAGGTTGTCCTGATTCACGTGCAAAAGCTCCGATACCAACTGTTACATGCACAGATATGCAATGTACGTAATAAAACGAGAATCTGCAATGTGATGAAAAGGACTGAATAGACAATGCGGTACGAGTAGACTCTCGACAAGCAATGTACATTCTCATTCATACATAAAGATGCTGAAGAGCGCAGGGAAGACTTTGATACAAAGACTGACCTGACAGGACTGACCTCATTTACGTAGTTCAGAGTAACGAAGCAGAACGCTAGAGTACGACTAACTAGCCCAATCAATGTTTGAACTCAGACTAAACATGCATTGTATCCATCACGAGTGTGAAGGAGCCTGGCGCTGCACACAAGAAGAAAGCGCCAGGTCCAGACATACATAGACGAAGAGATAAGGATCAGACGAAAGGAGGGAGRAAGATGGGAATGTCGTTAACACCAAGTCTTGGTCACCAATCCCAAATAGTCCCTCGTTGCCATGTCTGAACCCCCGAAAGTCGAGTCTGGATCAAATGTCACCAAGCTCTGTATCTCTTCTCTCATAGTCTGCTGATGCAGTGAAGTCAGAAGTGAGAGGGAGAGAAGAGATGGTGGACTGAGAAGAAGAAGAAGAAGAAGAACTCTCTCTCTCTCTCTTTGTTACGAACCAGATACTAACCTGTGATGTTGGCGCTGTGCTGCAGGTACCTCGAAGAC